CCACAAGCAATGGCCCTTAGCTCCCAAATCTCAGCTTCTCTCACAAAATCCCAGTTCCGACGCAATCCGTTCAATTCCCACCTCAATCCCAGAAAACCCTCCAATTTCCTCACAATCAGCTGCAGCCAAAGCCAGCCCAGTGAAAACCAAGACTCAAATGCGGCGAGCAAAAAGCAAAAGAAGCTGTCCGAACAATCCTCATGGGAATCGAAGGATTCCGCGGGCAAAGACTACTTGTACAGGCTTGGGTCGGAGGCCGACAACATGAACATTGCCGTTGGAGCTAGGGCTGGCATCATCGATGACCTCTTCACCGGCACTTTTCTCGGCAAAGACGGTAAAATGAGTAGATATCTATATGTGTGAGTTGTGACCGAATAATTTTGATGGTATGAATATAGGGTATTTACTGAGATTGAATTTGCCAGCGGATATTGTGTTTGATTACCGGCAAAAGGCCACGAGGTCGTTCGAGTACCTTCAGGGGGATTATTACATTGCGCCGCTTTTCCTGGTGCGTTTGTGTGTGTGATCGTTTATTTTCATGATACTTTTCTTATTACTGAATCGTTTACATTTTCCTGAAGCTGTGTTTTCTGTGTGGCCTTTTGATATTTCAGGATAAAGTCGGTAAGATCATTCAATCTGAAAATGGAAGGATGTCCTGTCAATGAAAAATGAAGTTCTGGAGAAGAACTGTACTTGTCATGGTTTACAATGCCGCTATAAGAAGTGCTATTTTTTAAATTTTTATTTTTTGAAGATATAGTGTTTAGCATGCTTGTAATTCCTCTTAAAATCTTTTATTTCTGAAGTTTTCTGATTCTATCAGGTATGCATACCTTTCGAGTGAGAAAGTTTTAGTTCCAATATCACTGAACAATTGTTCAACTTTATGTGGTTCTGTCATTACTCAGAGAAAATAATGGTGTATATTTCTAATGCTTTTATTGTTTCAATTGCAGTATGCCATATTGTGAAGAACTATATTGCTCATCTTCTCGATGTGAAAGTTCCACTGATTTTAGGTGAATATATTTTGCTATGCATCTATGTAAAAAGTATAAATCATAATAGATAGAAGGGCTAGCAGCAGAATAAAGGAAACCATATGAAATTATGAATGCACATGTGTTTCTCAAATTTAATATGCATTCTTTAATATCTAACTTGGAAATGATTATTCTTGATTTTTTTACTAATGCAGATAATAGATCTTACTCTGCATTTAACCCCTTCTGATGTAGGGTGATATAACTTCATTTCCACTTGCCATTTTAGCCCACAATTTAAATGTTAGTTGTGAGGAATAGTGTTGTCCTTCCATCAGTGTTGAGTGAAACATCATGAACTTCTTGTTCAGGAATATGGGGAGGAAAAGGGCAAGGTAAAACTTTTCAAACCGAACTAATTTTCCGGGCGCTGGGGCTCGAACCTATTATCATGTCAGCTGGCGAACTGGAATCAGAAAGAGCAGGTATTGACATGAGTTAAGAGTTTGGTTTGTTTTCTATTTCGCATTAGGTAATGATTACTTTGTCTTGGATCTTTTTATTGTACTTTATGTAGGAGAACCAGGAAAATTGATTCGTGAACGGTACAGAACTGCTTCTCAAGTGGTTCAGAACCAAGTTAGACACCATATTACTTTCACGTATTTCATTCACCCTTCATTTACGTAACCATAATTTGTGTGTTTGTGTGTGCGTATATATTTGAGTAACTGGCTGTTGGGAGGTCTGAAAGTTTTGGTTTCTGCTTACAACATCAGTTTATATATCTAAATTGTTGGAAGCTTTTGGATATTGTTTGCAAGTGAGAATCTTTTTTTTTTTTTTTGAATGCTACAGGGAAAAATGAGCTGTTTGATGATCAATGATATTGATGCTGGACTGGGTAGATTTGGTGAGAAGGATTCATTTTGCTTTTTAAATACTTAATTTGTCATTCATATTCTATTACTTTTTAAATACTTAAATACATGCATGTTTAAAAAGCTTCAATATGCTTCCATAAATGAATCATGAGATCTTAGTCAACAAGATTCCTAACATGCATATTTCTGCTTCCTCACCAGGTGACACTCAAGTGACTGTCAATAACCAAATAGTGGTTGGGACTCTCATGAATATAGCAGATAATCCCACAAGAGTAAGCATAGGGCAAGTTTGGAGAGACTCAGACATTACAAACAGAATCCCAATTATTGTCACTGGAAATGATTTTACAACACTTTATGCTCCATTGATCCGTGACGGAAGGATGGATAAGTTCTACTGGTAACTCCTTATTCTCGAGATAGATTTTTGCACTTAGAATATATTTGGTTGTGATGTTGATGGCCAAACCTGATTCTCTCTGTGAATATATTACCGAGTGCAGCAATTTTTTTCCTCTAGATTTTATAAACAACTGAGTAAGGAAAGGAGTTTAAATACTGGTTTAGTCATATTAAATGAGTAGTATTTATATTTGTCACTACACTTTTATTTTTTGCTATCATTTGGCCGACAGAATGCATTCTTTGGTACAGGCAACCCACTCAAGATGACATTGTAAACATTGTCCGGAGAATGTATGAGAAAGACGGCATAACAAGGGATGAAGTTGTTAGCATTGTGAGGGAATTTCCCAATCAAGGTGCCCTCGTGTTTGTCTTTCATGGACAATAGTTTATTATATGAGGATTTAAGACTACCTGATTCCATATGTGTGTTAGGGTGCTGAAGAGGTCAATCTTCTTCTCGTTTGTGATTATATTATTCTTATAATTCTATTTCTTGTAGAATGATTTCCTAAATCGCATTTCTTCATGTGGCATTATATTTTCATTCTTAGTAAAAAGATGGCTTGGGATAGTTTGGAAGTGTTAGGCAGAAAATTGTAGGATGATCATGTGCTTTGTAAGTTTCTTAAAACTATCAGTTGTTAATGATTATGGTATTGCTCTGGTTTCTGGCTTGCTGTGGTCTTCATTTCTTTATCAAATTTTTATTCGAAATGGGAATGAACTTTGCGAAAAAGTCTTATATGAGCTGCTTGGTTTGAGTTGTATTTAACTGCAACTCTTAATGTTGGCTTATAGGTATTGATATAGGATTTGTATAAAACGAGTTAAGAAAGGGTTTTAATCTTCCAAACATGTACACACACAAGAAGAAAGGGACTCTATAAGAAAATTGAAAGTAAAGTACAAGTGAAGCCACATGTATATACTAATGGGGATGTTGTCACATTTTTATCTATCCTTATTATTTCTATTTTGTCTGTTTGGCAGCATTGGACTTTTATGGTGCTCTTAGGTCAAGAACATATGACCGTTCAATCCTAAAGGTACCTGTAAATAAGTTTAAGAAAATCCTTAATAATGAATGAGATAATGAAAATAATGTAAAGATTGTTGATGAATGAGGGTAGAGTACCCGTTTTACCTATGTATGTGCCTGTTGAATCCAAAACTTATCCAAGTAGCTTTGGCATATGTCTGACTGCTTCTTTCTCGAGCTCTGGCAATTTATATTTTGTTTACTTAGCTTTTTTTTTCTCCTTTTTGTTTTCTGATGGCAGTGGGTAAACGATGCTGGAGGTGCGGAAAATCTTGGGACAAGACTTCTCAAACAGAAAAAGGAAGGAAAACTTCCAGTATTTACAGCTCCAAAGGTATCATATTTAATTTCACTTTTACTGTGATTGGTCTTTTCCCTATAGTTTTTATCTTTCAGAAACTTTGCTCTATTCCATCTATTTATTGGAAATAGACTGAAATAAGAGGCCATTAAGAATCCAGAACAAGTATGTTTCTGCATGATTAATTTTTAGTTTTTCTTTTTTTTTTCTTTAATTAGATGAGACTGATGTTCCCTGATGGTCTCATTTTTGGTTTGTACAGCAAACTGTGGAAGCTTTACTTGAATCGGGGTATGATCTCGTTAAAGAGCAAAAGCTTATAATGGAAACAAAGCTTTCTAAAGAATACATGAAGAACATCGATGACTAGCAAGTTTAATGACTCTCATTTTACACTCGATCTTTTGGTGTTCTGTATTGTACTGATCTTGGGAACGGATATTCTTAATGAGAAATAGAACTTATTTGAAGTAGCTCATTTTGTACAGAGAAGCCTATGTGTGAACAATGACTAATCTTACTCATCCTTTGTGAGCAATTTTTGTTTTCTTGCATTTTTCAAGTTTCAGTTAAAATAATTTTACTTGATTGTCATATTTCGTTTAATGTTCTGGCCTATGATGGATTGAACTCTACGTAAATGGAATTGAATTTTGGGGGGAACATAACTACATATTTGTATATAATGCTACATATTTATATTATAAAATAAAATGATATACTAGTATATTATTTTTTAAATTATGCCATTTCAGTATGCAAATATGTAAATATACATATGGTTGTCTCAGAGCACCGAGGTCATTTCTAGTTTGTTCATTTTTTAGTTTATTATATTTTCATTTGCTAGTATCTTGGGAATGACAATTTCTAATTGTATGACAAATGAATTGAAAATATTTTTCATATCTTCTACTCCTATTTAACTACTCTTGATGATTTAAAGTTTGCAATTCTCTCACTTTTTTGTAGAGCTTTTAAGAGTTGTTTCAGTTTTTTAGGGTCCTCTATAGCTTCAATATTTTAGTTTTCTTTATAACTTTTTCTTTTGTTATTTCTTAAAAATATTCTTAATGTTAAGCTTTAGTTTTTTATGGGATTTATATGTAATCAAACTGATTAATATAAATTGCATTATGTACGGGAAAATGTATTTTCAAAAATTAAGAAATTATTCATTGATTTCACTAAAATTAATTGACATGCATACAAGACTAGAGTACGCATGCCACAATATATTTGAAAAATAGGTGACTAAAATACATATCATATGGCACATATATATAAGAGCGGTGAAAATTGACCCTGCCATCATGATAATGAAAGAAAGGAGCTCCATTAATTAACAATGTCACTTTCTTGTTTAATCAAACATTTCACCTAACTTTCTTGTCATTTTGGTATTAAACTTCTGTAGAAGAAAATCCTTCCGTCTTATGCAGACTCTAGCCGACGTAGTCGATGTAATTGTTTACGTGTGTCCCTTTCTGATCATCACTACTAGGAGTGAGCATGGGTCGTACGATTCCGGAGATTTCGATTCGGAGATGGACAAATCTCCGAACATTACCAAAAAATCAGGATGGTTCGGTTCGAAGATTTTATTTTTTGGTTCGGTTCGGTTCGATATTCAGGACTATGAGAACGATTCAATTTAGTTTGGTTCGGTTCGAATCTCCGGAGATTCCTAATTATTTTTTATTTTTTCAGAATGAATACCTAGTTATATATTAACTTTTATATACTTTAAAAAAATTCAACATTCATCAATACTTCATCATATTAAAGATTTTAAATAATATTTTTAAAACAGAAAAAATTCAATTGTAGATCAAGTATTGCTAAGACACACTTTATCCAAGAGTTCACATCCCATAATTCCAAATACAAATCCCATAATTCACAAACCACAATTCTATACCACATATTTTAAATTTAGTTGTGAATTTTTCATCAATACATGTGTAATACCAAAAAGCATTGAACCTTTGCCGTCTTCGAGCGGAGGATGTCGACATGTCGTAGTATTGTTATTAAACTGATAGATATTATGGTAAAAATATCTATCAATTCATTTTTATTTGATTTGAAAATATATCATTTTTAAATAAATATATCTCTTCAAAAATTTTGGAAGATTTTCTTCATAAAGGCCTGTTTCCAAATATTGTAAATACAAATTTAGTTTATAATTAATGATTTTTTTAATAAATTTGACGCGTTGGTTACCAAAATTTGTAATAGGAAAAGTATATTAATTTAATTTCTTTTCAAACTAATGCCTCACATGCAGTAAGAAAATAAAATAATTAATTTTTCAATCATTTAATTATATTAACATTCAATAGTGGAAAATTGTTGCATTTTAATTTTAAATATAATATATGATAGTTTATGAACATAGACCTAATGTATATGGATTTTATTTGCAATTCAACTTTAAATACAAATGTGTACAAAAATAGAAAAAAAGCATAAGATGAAATATTATATTTATATGAATCGGTTCTTGTTCGATTCTCGTTTCAGTATGATTTTTTTCAGTTCGGTTTGGTTCGGTTCTCAGTTCAGATATTTTATGAATCTCCAAAACCGTACGAAATATTTTTTCAATATGGTTCGGTTTGGATAAAGTCAAACGGTCAACGGATATTTTTCGGTTCGGAGTGAAGTCGGTTCAATTTTCGGAACAGTTCGGTAATCTCGAGTCTCGTGCCCAGCCCTAATCACTACATTCAACCTTCTACTTGATTGAACAAGTACTTAATAAATAAAATAAATAAAACTACTCATTTATATANATTTATTGGTTACAATCTTGAGATAATCCTCAGAAGAAGAAATAGAGAATTGGATTATTTTTTTAGTACTATTTATTATCAAATGTTAGAAAATATCTTATTTACTATAAACCTAAAGTTTGAATTTTTGAAATATAGGCGGCAATAAAATAGCTGGCAATCAATCAACTGATTAAATGTTAAACCATTTAAGTTTTTTATGCCGTTTGTCCTATAGTATGGTGAAATTTTAAGACAAAACTTAAAAATAACCAAACTTGAGAGAGGAAAGTAAGTCTAATTATAATGTTAGGTTATATCTCCTTGAAAATTTGTATAATATTTAATTGGAATATCAACAATATCAGTTGATAGATGTTAAGTCTACTCCCAGATTTGGAGTAAAACCGGTTGAGATGAGCTTCAATTTGTCTGAACCGCTTTTAGATCGCCACAAACACCTGCAAGAACTCAACGACGGAAGGGAGCTTCCGATGCTTAATTCAGTATCAGAAAGAGACAAAAATGCTCTACTCAGAGGCCTAATTGGCAGGCTCGCATGTTTCGTGATCCTATTTGACAAAATTACATGTTTTGTTATTAGGCTTGGGTAAATTTTAATTTACTTCCAATCCAAAAATAATTAGGTTAGGATTATCCATAAATATGTTGATTATTTATAGTCATGTTAGATGTATTAATTGCATTTTAATATCATTATTTATTTTAACCATTGAATTGTAATTGTATTTTAAAAGTTAATAACTTGTGTATTTTTTATCAGTTTTACATATATAATATATCAAACTAATAATCTCTTGATGAGTTTCGATTTAACATCCCTAGTGTATTTATAAAGAAAAAGTAAATTATATTTATCTTTATAACAATAATATAATTATTTTTTAATATTAATTAAAAAATAAAGTTATTTATCAATTAATACATTTATATTTCAAGTAGTTATATGATATAATGTAAGTCGCACAAATAACAAATGTCATTCTAAAATAAAGTTATTTATCAATTAATATATTTATTTTTCTCATTAGTTTTAAAATTTAAAAATAATTTTTTAATAAGTACCCGTGTAATATACAGGTGTTGTATTAGTAAGTATTTAAATACAAATAAAAAAATTGAAACGTCGCCATTATCGTTTAACGTCCAGGAAAACGAGGCACGGATTACGTGGGTCGAGACTGGAGCGGATGTGTGGACACGAATATTACCGACTTCAAGACGAACTACGTGGCACTTCTGAATCTGGACACGTACATCTCATACAAATATCCAACAACGGTGAAGGTAAATTTATTACTGTCAAAAACAGCAAACAATACCAAAAAGTCGATTTTTTCACAGTGCACACAAAATTACACACTCTCCAACACTCATTTTTAGGTACTGAAAAATATCTCACCAGATTTACCCCAAAAAAATTAAAAAGGGAAAACTGAAAGAAATATCTCAGCAGAAGTCAAATTTAATTTGAAATGAAATCTCAACAGACATCAATCCAAAAAAGCCTCAAAGGAAGACCACTCGCCCGGGGCCCACACCTTCAACGTGTCCACACCTAATTTACTTCATTACAACAAATAATCACGAAAAAAAGGAGGAAATTGGGCACCTCACACTGTCACGTGTCGGTGTTCATAATAAATTAATAATATAAAAGTAGTATTCAATATTCATTTATCTGTCTCTGTGACTCTCAACGGCCAAAGAGTACTATAGAGCTCAAAACCAGAGAAAATTATTATATTCACGCAAAAAGTGTGTGGGTAGTTGTGGCCGGGTTAAGATTGGGGCTGAGTCGACTCGGCGGAGAATTAGAGTGATGGAGTGGTGGCACAAAGTAGTTTTCCCTGTTCGGAGAGTTTGGTGCGCTGTCTCTGCTCGCGTCAAACCTCGCAAAAATGGTTTGCATTTAAATTTCCACCACTTCATTTTTATTTCAATTACTCAATTGTGTTTTAATTTTTTATGAATGCTTTGTAGAAGCAAAAGAAGAACAACAAAATTATGGTCCTCAGCTTCAAGCCGAAAATTAATTAACTAAGCTGCTATGAAATGTTGCCTTCAGTTTTGAAACAGGGTAAATCTCAAATAACCCAACGTGTTGGTATGTGTGACAGTGATCAATTTAGAATAGAATTCTGTAATAAATTTCTTTGAATATTGTCTAAAAATCTTTCCCTACTCATTGCTTATCTTAAATAAAGTCGTCACCATTAAGGTTCGACCAATTTATCTCTCATCAAAAGTAACAAAATTATGTAACCAGTTGCTGATTTCCAAAACGAATAGATTTATTAAACTTAAGGAGATTGTTGCTACAGTAGTCGATGGCGATTAAGTTTTTGTTGTTAGTTTTATAGTAATAGATTTTTTACACATCCACAAAAGCCAGTAAAGAACATTATTATTGTGTGCATTTTTATTTTCTAGAAAACTATTGTAATTTCGCAAATGATGTTACTAGTCTAACAGTATCCTTCGAACAATAATTTATACTTATACTTTTTTTTTTTTTTAAAGTATGATACATTTTACTATAAAAATATGTAGATCTTTTGAAAAAGTTGAACAAGTACGATTGTTAATGTTATAAAACTCACGAATTATATATCTGTTTCTATGTTTAGGCGCTGGGCTTTTGAAACTTCACGATGACATCCAAACATGTGGATACGAGGATGTTCAAATCATGTGGGAGATGTTGAGTAGGACAGAGTCGAAAGTGATTACGAAATGCAAAAAACAGATGGTTTTGTAGGAATTTTGGTGCATTT